GAATTCTTTACCACTGGACCACCTGGGAAGTCTCCTAGGTGTCTTTTTAATAATGGGGTAGGGATCAGTTGGAGACGTTGCTAACATGGTTTCCTGAGGCTTTATCACCCAGTGTTACTGGTTAGGTTTGTTGTCAGATGGACCAGGTCAATGCCAGTTTTCACCCACCTCTCAGCTGTGTGACCTTGAACTATATCACTGAACCTCTCTGAATTTTAGTTTCTGCTTTTGTGAAATGAGGAGAATCAGCCCTACCCCACAGATAGGATTATTTTAATGTCTAGAGCAAGCACTCAACAGATGTGCCTAAGAATGGTAGTAAAATCACATCCAGCTTCATAGCCTACAATCAAGGTGTAGACGTCACTGTTCTGGTCCGAGGACACACAATAGGAAGCTGTGACTTACCCGAGGTGACGCAGGTTGTAAGTTGTAGAACCTGAACCCAGATCTTCTGAGTCTAGAACTAGTGTTGTCCCAGGCAAAACAGCAGAAGTTTAACTAGTGAGATAGTATGTCCCCAATCTGTACTTTCTGGAACCTCTGAATCCATTCCTTAGGGAGGGACTGCCTTGCCCCTCTCCTTTCTCCCCTTTTTAAAAATTGTGGTAAGATATATATAACATAAAATTTATCATTTTAACCACCTTTAAGTGTTCAGTTCAGTGGCATTAAGTACATTTACATTGTTGTACAACCATCACCATCCATCTTCAGAACTTTTTCATCTTCCCAAACTAAAACTCTGTATCCAGAAAAAAATAAAATAAAAAAACAAACAAACAAGAAAAGCCCCTCTATATCCATTAAATAATAACTCCCCATTTCTCCCCTCCTCCAGCCCAGCAGGCATCCTTCTACTTTCCGCTTGTATGAATATACTGCTTTAGGGACCTCATATAAGTGGAATCATATGGTACTTGTCCTTTTGTGTCAGGCTTATTTCACTGAGCGTAATGTCCTCTAGGTTTATCCATGTTATAGCATGTGACAGAATTTCCTTTTTCAGGCTAAATAATATTCCATGGTATGTATATTATACATATTATTTATCCATTCATCCATCGGTGGACACTTGAGTTGTTTCTACCGTTTGGCTGGTTTTTGTTTTTCTTTTAATTTTTTTTGATGTGGACCATTTTTAACGTCTATTGAATTTGTTACATTATTGCTTCTGTTTTATGTTTTGGTCTTTTGGCCATGAGGCATGCGGGATCTTAGCTCCTTGACCAGGGGTCGAACCCACACCCCCTGCACTGGAAGGTGAAGTCTTAACCGCTGGACCACCAGGGAAGTGCCCTGTTTTGCTGCTGTGAAGAGTGTTGATATGAACACGGCTCCCTTCCCTTTTTCAGAGATGGGCCGAATGATGCAGTCGTTAAAGAGTCTTCACCCCTTACTGGCTGAGTGGTCTTGGACAATTCCCTTCATCCCTTAAGCCCTGCTTTTCTCATCTGCACTGTGGAAATGATGATAGTTCGTCCCACAGGGTGGTCAGGAGGATTGGGTGAGAGCGTAGATACGAAATACTTAGTATGGTACCGGCCACAAAGCAAGCGCTCCGTACTTCTTACTCTCATACGTTCATTCGACAGAACATGTGCCTGCCCTCCTCCTGACGCTGACGGTTGCCCCTCACCTGGCTAGTCTCACCTACCCCGAGTGGTGGCCAGGTGGGTAGAGGGCCGTGGGAATGACCCACTCAAGTGCAAGTTGTGAGAGGTACAATGTCCGCAGGGCATATGAAAACAATAATGAAAGAACAAAGCTGATAAAAACTTGGTTTGATTTTTTGTCATCATCAGGAACTGGCAATTCTAAACAATGTCAGTGATGAGATACTCCTTCCTCCAGGCATGATCCAGGGAGCGATCATTGCCAATGCTCCCAGCCTTTGGTTGCCTCATATACTCCATGTGAATTCTACACCTGAGTTGCATTGTGTCTCTATACTTGTTTCCTTTCTGTTGTATATTTCTTTTTTTTTTGCGGTACGCGGGCCTCTCACTGTCGTGGCCTCTCCCGTTGCGGAGCACAGGCTCTGGACGCGCAGGCTCAGCGGCCATGGCTCACGGGCCCAGCCGCTCCGCGGCACGTGGGATCTTCCCAGACCGGGGCACGGACCTGCGTCCCCTGCATCAGCAGGCGGACTCTCAACCACTGTGCCACCAGGGAAGCCCTGTATTTCTTTTAAAATATGCTGCATAGGTGTTAGAAAAATTGGCAACCTAACAATCCTGTTTTCCTTTATTGTAGCTGTTTCTACTGTCCGATTGGCATTTTAAAAATTATTTTTTATTAATAGACTTTATGTTTTAAAACAGTTTTATATTTTCAGAAAAATTCTGCAGATAGTACAGAGTTTCCACATAACCCCCACACTCACTTTCCCCTGTTATTAACATCCTATGATAATAGCGTGCATTTATTACTTTATATTTATGTATTTATTTATTTATGTATTTATGTATTTATTTATTTATTTATTTATTTATGGCTGCGTTGGGACTTTGTTGCTCTGCACGGGCTTTCTCTAGTTGTGGTGAGCGGGGGCTACTCTTCGTTGTGTTGCACGGGCTTCTCATTGCGGTGGCTTCTCTTACTGCGGAGCACGGGCTCTAGAGCGCAAGCTTCGGTAGTTGTGGCATGTGGGCTCAGTAGTTGTGGCTCGCGGGCTCTAGGGCGCAGGCTCAGTAGTTGTGGCGCACGGGCTTAGTTGCTCTGCGGCATGTGGGATCTTCCCAGACCAGGGCTCGAACCCGTGTCTCCTGCATTGGCAGGTGGATTCTTTACCACTGCACCATCAGGGAAGGCCCAGCATTTGTTACTTCTAATGAACCAATACTGGTACATTATTGTTAACTAAAGGCTATCGTTTATTCACATTTCCTCAATTTTTATCTAATGTCCTTTCTCCCTCCTTTTGTCTACGATAGTTTCTCAGAGTTTGCTTGTTTTTGTCTCCCTTGACAGATTTAAGGTGTACGGCTCAGGCATTTTGTAGAGAGTCCCTCTTCGGGGATTTGTGGCTTTATTTATTTATTTAAGTTATTTACTGGAGACTTACTGTAGGTTAGTCATTGTGGGAGGCTGGGGATATAGCAGTGAACCAAGACATTTTATAGATAGCATTTATAAATCATTGACCTCGACTCTGGGACGTGGAGAAGGTTGTACGTGCTGAGAATTGAACCCAGGCACACCCAGAGGCCAAACCCTTGACTACGGTGTTGTTGGCCCCCTTCTGTGGGGAGAGGAAGGAGTTTTTCAAGGTGGGTTTGAGGTAATAGAGGCACATTTTAAAATTATTTGTTTACTTATTAAAAAAAATTAGTCATTTTTCTTTTTGTGTGTGTGTGTGTGTGTGTGTGTGTGTGTGTGTGTGTGTGTGGTACGTGGGTCTCTCACCACCGTAGCCTCTCCCATTGCGGAGGACAGGCTCCGAATGCGCAGGCTCAGCGGCCACGGCCCACGGGCCCAGCCGCTCCACGGCATGTGGGATCCTCCCAGACTGGGGCACGAACCTGTGTCCCCTGCATCGGCAGGCGGACCCTCAACCACTGTGCCACCAGGGAAGCCCTATTTTACTTTGTATTTTTACTTATTTATTTATTTTTTGCCTCCGCCCAGCTTGTGGGATCTTAGTTCCCTGACCAGGGATCGAGCCCGTGCCACTTGCAATGGAAGTGTGGAGTCTTAACCACTGGACTGCCAGGGAAGTCCCAACATTTTGAAAAATCGGGCAAACCAAATGATGATCGTAAAAGTAGGAAAATAAGTAGATAAGTTAGAAGTGAGTTAGATTCTTTCTGGTGAAGATTTGGGAAAGTGAGTTAAAATCATCTTCACCTACATTTATCTTCTGAGCTCTTCTGCTCTTCCTGTTAAGTGCTACTGTGCAACTTACTCTGTTCTTAAATGTCTCTGCAGGAATGTTTCGTACAATCCAAAAATTAATGGTTGAGGTAGGCCAGTAACAAATAGGCCAGTAACACATCTGTGTCCATCCCTAAACACTTTTTTATGGCATGATGTGGATGCAGCCAAAAATCCCATGTGTGACATGGTCATGGGGCAGGTAGTCTGGTGCCACAGAGCAGGGTTCAGGGGCTCTGTCCTCTTGGTCTGGGGCAGCATCAAAGTCCTTTGAGCATTTCTGAACCTTGGTTGCCTCACCAATAAGTTAGGGATGATTCAGTGGAGTGACATCTTACACCCTGATGGGATTCTAAAGTTAGCAGCACACATGGCCAAAATCTGGTAGAGTCAGGATTACCCTGAAAAACCTCGAAACCACCCACAAAGGAGTGAACACAAAATAACAAAGGAGTGAACACAAAGTGCCTGTGTGGGAGACCCTCACACAGTCTGGCAGTATGTCCATCACAGCCCATTTTTCTGCCAGCACATGGCTAGCAGACTCCAAGCTTGGTCAGACCACATTGAGTATCTTCTTGTATTTAGGACCCTTGATGCAAAAAACAATGACATGTCTTTACACACCAGGATGAGAATACACATGGCTTGCCGACTGATGGAAAACCAGAGGCAGGGCTCATGGGTGAGACCTCGTGGTTGCTTTTCTTTCTCTGAGTACGTAGCTGAATTTTGTACATTAGAGGATCAGTTGGGTCACTACCCAGCCCCCTCCCAGAGGACTTGGTAAGGATGAAATGAGGTTGGGTCCATGAGAGTCCCTGGAGCTCTGGACAAATGTTTGGTGTCAAAAGTATGATCAGTGAGTGATACATTCATGCAAGTCGTAGGGAGGTATGTGATTTGCTTTAAAAAATTTTTTTTGGAGAAGGGGATGTTCTGTGTTTTGTGGATCCTGGGGAAGCCTGGCTGCTTGGTTTCTATTGAGTGTGTGGGTATTGGTGGAGCTGGGGGGACCAGCAGTGACTCTGCAGAGACTTCTGCTGGGTAAGGTACAGCCTCCAGCCCCCTTCAGAGACATCCCCTCTACCCTAGGCTAAAATGGCTGCTTTGTTTCACCACAGAATGTCCTGAAGGAGCATGCGGATGACGACCCCAGTCTGGCCATCACTGGGGTCCCCGTAGTCACTTGGCCAAAGAAGACTCCAAAGGTAAGACACAGATCACCCACAGCTGGGAGACCATAAATCCACTGCTTTTTCACATCTCCTGTAAGATGAATGTTGGCAGCCTTTCAGGGGGATTTCCTGGGAGAGGGCACCCCATTTAAGATGAATGATGTTGGTGAGTTGTTCATTGCAACTTTTTTTTTTTTAAAAGGGATCATTTTCCCTAGCTGTGGAAACTGCAGGCACTGCCCCCTGGTGGTCACTCAGAAAACTGGGGAAGTGATACCTCACCTTTCTTCCTTTCCTCCCCTCCTTTCTTCTATATTTCCTTCCTTCCCTTGACCTCTAGCTGCTTTGTGGGCTCTTTTCTCCTCTTTTGAAAGTAGTTTTTTTCTCTTTCTAAATGGGTTGATGCTGGGGAATTCCCTGGCTGTCCAGTGGTTAGGACTCCACACTTCCACTGCAGGGGGCATGAGTTCGATCCCTGGTAGGGGAACTAAGATCCCACATGCCTCGCAGTGTGGCCACAAAAAAAAAAAAGGGGGTTGGTGCTCACCATGAAAAATTTGATCAAATAGGAAAGGACAAAGATGCTGGGAAGAATAGTAGTGACGTCACTGAGAACTTACCAGGGGCAGGTTGCCTTGCCTAGTCCTCTGCATCCCCTGTCTTATTTAGACTCCAGCAATCCTGTGGGATAGACACTTGTGATTTGTTTTACAGATGAGGAAACTGAGGCTTAAAAAGACGAAGTTACTTGTTAGGTTACTTGGCAGAGCCAAGGATGCAAAGATCAGTCTGACAGCAGAGACCGAACTTTCAACCAGTGCCCTACCTTGGCTGCACCACTTTCTTGAGCAAGTTGTATAAGCTCCCAGAACCTTACTTTCCTCATTTGTAAAAAGGGGTTATACCAGTACCTACTTCAAATGGTCATTGTGAGAACTAAACAAGATAATGCATGCAGAGTCCGTAGGACAAGGGCTGATTCATGGTAAGTGCTCTAAATGTCATTTGTAACCTAAGCAGCCTCCCTGTTGATGGGTATTTTGCTAATTTCTGATTTTTTTTACTGTTATAAAAAACACTGAGAGGAACTTTCTAGATCTCTACTGTCCAAAAGGGTAGCCACTAGTCATATGTGGCTATTGAGCACTTGAAATACGGCAAGCCCAAATTGAGAGGTGCTGTCAGTGTAATATACACAATAGATTTCAAAGACTTAGTACAAAAAAGAACAGTGCATAATACCAATTTAATTTATTTTTTATATTGATTGAAATTAGGGTTGCCAGATTTGAAAAGGAAGCCCATTTAAATTTGAATTTCAGGGCTTCCCTGGTCGCGCAGTGGTTAAGAATCTGCCTGCCAATGCAGGGGACAGGGGTTTGAGCCCTGGTCCGGGAAGATCCCACATGCCGCAGAGCAACTGAGCTCGTGCACCACAACTACTGAGCCTGCACTCTAGAGCCCACGAGCCACAACTACTGAACCCGCGTGCCACAACTACTGAAGCCCGTTCGCCTAGAGCCCGTGCTCCACAACAAGAGAAGCCACGACAGTGAGAAGTCTGTGCACTGCAACGAAGAGTAGCCCCCACTCGCCGCAACTAGAGAAAGCCCCCGTGCAGCAACAAAGACCCAACACAGGCATAAAATAAATAAATAATAAATAAATTAATTAATTAATTTGAATTTCAGATAAACAGCAGATACATTTTTTTACTATAACTATATCCCATATAATGCACGCGATATACTTATGCTAAAAGGAGTTTTTGTTCTTTATCTGAAATGTAATGGGGCATGCTGTATTTTTATATGCTAAATCTGGCAACCCTAGTTGAAATGATAAAATTTTGGATATATTAAACAAAATGGATTATTAATATTCACTTCACCTGTTTCTTTTTACCTTGTAAAATGTGGCTTCAAAAAAATTTTAAAGTACGTATGTGGCTCACATTATATTTCTATTGGACAGTGCTGTTCTGGGTTATTCATTTCACTTTTGTTTGATTATCTTCTTAGGGTATATTCTTTTTCTTGGCCACGCTGTGCGGCTTGTGGGATCTTAGTTCTCTGACAAGAGATTGAACCCGGGGCCACAGCAGTGACAGCACCGAGTCCTAACCACTGGACCGCCAGGGAACTCCCATTAGGGTATATTCCTAAATGTGGGATTGTTAATGGAGAAAGTACTTGTGGGTATTGAATTCTGATTCTCTTTGAAGCTTAGTGGGAACTGAGGTGGCCATAGGAATGGAAAGGAGTTGCCTGCACATCTGCCTTTAGCTCCCCAATCTGTGGATGTTGAGTGGGGTTGTAGAGTTGACTTTCCCCTACATGGGCCATAAATATAAATGTCATTTATCAGACCACAAACCGTGCTTGCAGACACAGCAACTTGAAATAGCCCAGCCAGGTCCCATGGCTGCTTTGAATCTGCAGAGGAAACCGTGGCTTTGCCTTGCTACCGCCTGCTTCCCTCCTAGCTGAGGAATTGCTCCACAGTTCGGATTAGGGTTTATAGAGGGCATGGGCTTGGCTTTTTTTTTTTTTTTTTTAATTTTTAAATTTTATTTATTTTTTTTATACAGCAGGTTCTTCTTAGTTATCCATTTTATACATATTAGTATATACATGTCAATCCCAGTGTCCCAGTTCATCCCCCCACCCTTCCCCCCGCCACTTTCCCCACTTGGTGTCCATACGTTTGTTCTCTACATCTGAGAGCATGGGCTTTTAAAGAAACACACTTGCCACTACTCACTGTAGTCTCAGAATTAATGGAGGGGTCCAAACCAGCCTCTGGGGGAAATCACTTCAGGACCACAAATGTGCCCTGTCTGGAGTCACTTAGCCCACTCCTCAGGGGCTTCTAGGCATTTTTTTTTAAAAAAAGAAAACTCTGCCCCTTCTCCTCCCAAGGCCTGGAAACAGGAAGCTGGCTTCTGGTGGGAGTAGCCCTTATTTAAGATTCCCTTGGAGGACTGGTTTATAAGCACTGGTCTGTACGTAAGTTGGGCGTGGATGGTATCAACACTGGTGGGAGAAATTGGAGCCCTTAGGCTGGTTAGGAAGGAGTGGGGGAGGGAGAAGTAAGAGCCTTTGACGTTTAACAGTGCTTGTGGGGTGCCAGGCTTTTTTTTTAAACACCTTATAATGAAACAAATAGAACTCACATACCTTACAGTTCTCCCACTTAAAGTGTACAATGAAATGTTTTTAGTATGTTGACATTTTTAGAGTTGTGCTACCAACACCACAGTCTAATTTTGGAACGTTTTCATACCCCCTTAAAAGAAGCCCCATTAGCGGTCAGTTCCCACTCCCCCAAGCCACACCTCCCCCAGCTGCTGGAAACTTTGTCTCCATGGATTTGCCCATTCCGGACATTTCATATAAATAGAATTGTACAGTATGTGGCCTTTTGTGACTGACTTCTTTCACTTAGAAGAACGTTTTCAAGGTTCATCCCAGTTATATATCTGTCAGTATTTCATGCCTTTATAGGGTTGAATAATATTCCACTGTATGGATGGACCACAGTCTGTTTAATCATTCATCTGTCGATGGGCATTTGGGCTGTTTCTACCTTTTGGCTATTGTGATTGATGATGCTATGAACATTCATGTACAGGTTTTTATGGGAACATATGTTTTCATTTCTCTTGGGTAGAAACTTAGGCATAGAATTGACTAGTCAGATGGTAACTCCACATTGAAGTTTTTGAGGAACTGCCTGTTTCTCAAAGTGGCTGCAGCATTTTCTATCCTCCCAGCAATTATAAGAGTTCCAGACTTCTCCACATCTTTGCCAACACCTATAATCTGTCTTTTTTTTTTCAAAAGCACATTCTCTGCATTCAAATACCTTATTCTTTTTTAAAAAATTATTAATTAATTTTTGCTGTGTTGGGTCTTCGTTTCTGTGTAAGGGCTTTCTCCAGTTGTGGCAAGTGGGGGCTACTCCTCACTATCGCGGCCTCTCTCGTTGGGGAGCACAGGCTCCAGACGTGCAGGCTCAGTACTTGTGGCTCACGGGCCCAGCCGCTCCACGGCATGCGGGATCCTCCTAGACCAGGGCTCGAACCTGTGTCTCCTGCATTAGCAGGCAGATTCTCAACCACTGTGCCACCAGGGAAGCCCTATCTGTCTTTTTTGATTAGAGCCATGCAAGCACAATCGTTTTCTTTTTAATTTAGTTAGTTTTCTATAAATTATTTGAAGTTTTGAAGTTTATTGTATGAGTTTGCAAGGGCCACTGTGACAAAGTACCTCAGACTGAGTGGCTTAAATGACAGAATATTAATTTTCTCACCGGTCTGGAGGCCAAAAGTCTGAGGTCACGGTGTTAGTTGGCAGGATGTATTCCTTTCTTTCTTTCTTTCTTTTCTTTCTTTCTTTCTTTTCTTTCTTTCTTTCTTTCTTTCTTTCTTTCTTTCTTTCTTTCTTTCTTTCTTTCTTTCTTTCGCTCTTTCTTCCTTCCTTCCTTTCTTTCTTTTCTTTCTTTTCTCTTTCTCTTTTCTTTTTTCTTTTCTTTTCTGTCATAGAGCTGAAGAGTCTTTTTTTAAAATATTTATTTATTTATTTATTTATGGCTGTGTTGGGTTGCTGTGTGCGGGCTTTCTCTAGTTGTGGCGAGCAGAGGCTACTCTTCGTTGCAGTGTGCAGGCTTCTCATTGTGGTGGCTTCTCTTGTTGAGGAGCATGGGCTCTAGGCACATGGGCTTCAGTAGTTGTGGCACGTTGGCTCAGTAGTTGTGGCACGTGGGCTCAGTAGTTGTGGCTTGCGGGCTCTAGAGCTCAGGCTCCGTAGTTGTGGTGCACGGGCTTAGTTGCTCTGTGGCATGTGGGATCTTCCTGGGCCAGAGCTCGAACCCATGTTCCCTGAATTGGCAGGCATATTCTTAACCACTGCACCACCAGGAAAGCCCGGCAGGATGTATTTCTTCTGAGGACTCTCTCCTTGGCTTGTAGATTGCTGTTTTCTCTGTGTCTTCACACAGTCTTCCCTTTGTGTGTGTCCTAATCTCCTCTT